ACAAGTTATTACACCCAATGATTTATTAAAGCTTCAGTTGTTGGAATCAATAAAATCAGACAGACCTATAGTAATTCCATTTAGAAAGTGGGAATCCCATGAGCTACCCCAATTAACTAAAGATGCCACTAAGGAAATATGGTCAGTTAAAACGTGCACTGCATTGGAAAGTCCACGCTATATAATTTTAGCTTTTCATACCAATAGAAGAGGTAATGATACAAAAGATCCCTCATATTTTGACAACATTGATATATCTGATATACGTGTTATCCTCAATGGCGAATATTTTCCTATAGAACGCATGGACCTTAATTTTGAAAAAAATAATTTTATCGAGGCCCATCACAATTATACACAATTTTATTCAAGTTTTAAAAATGATTTAACAATATCAAAACACTCTCTACTTGATTATAAACAATTTAAGAACCACGCTCTTTTTGTAATTGATTGTTCCAGAAGAAATGAATCCTTAAAATCGAGTACAGTTGACATCAAAGTTGATATTGAGGCGAAAAAGGGCTTTCCCGATAACACAAAAGCATATTGTGTTATTATACATGACGTCATTATGGAGCATCTTCCACTCAGTGAAATAGTTCGTAGTTTATCATAATGCTGTTTAGTTTAAATTATTCTGCCTAAGATGAAGGTTGTGTCTATAAATATTCAGGGATTTAATTTATTCTCTAACGAAAAATGGTTTTTTCATCCAAAAGAAGTTACGGTTACCAATGGATTGCAAACAAATCATTATCTCTTAAAACCAATGGTGGAATTTAAGCTGTTATCACGAAAAAATAAAAAACAAGTTTGCTTTGAAGAAAAAATTCATGGCCTACGATATTCAAGTGGATATATAAATTTTAATGAGATTAACAATATTTTGATGGAATTATTGCCTGAATACGACACTGTTTACACAAAAGGAAATCAAAATTATGAATATTTAAAAACAGTCTGTGAGCAGTTATTACCAAATATAAAAATTATAAACGTTGAAACATTAAACCTTTGGGAACAACCTATGTTTAAAAACAAACCCCTCATGTGTTTGGATCATTTTAGAAGCGGTAGGTGTAGTACAACACATGCCTTAGTATTACATAATTGGCTTCAAAGTTATCTACCCCATAATCATGGATTGTAAAGAATTTGCTCAAAGAAAAATAAAATTTTATAAAGAATTGCAAGCATTAAAAGAAGACATTAAAATGTATGAACTGTGTAAGGCTTTTGCTGCTATGAGCATTTCTGAGGATCTGAGGAAGGATTCGCTGGACATTACTAATTTAAAAAAAAAATTATGTGCTTTAAATAAAATAATATTATAATAAATAAATAAAAAAATTATATTGTTTTTATGTATATCCTAAAATTAGAATAAAACTCAAAGGTAAGTAATATAATATATTTAAATATTTTTACATTTATTAATTGCATAACCTAAAAAATATACAAATGCATAAATAGCTAGTAAAAAAATTCCTACTATTAACAGAAATATAAATTCTATAAATATTTTTGTGGAAAATGTTGTTGAAGAGGTCACCCCCGATCCTGTAGTGGTCGATAAATTGGTTAAATTAGTTATTACACTATTTAAACTATTTATTTCAAAAAGGGTTCTAGTCTTTCCACCATCTGCTGATAAAATATATTTTAATTTATAATGTAATATAGAGCTATTTGCTGAGGCATTAACTTGAATCTTGAATGTACCAGGAGCTGCATCCATTGGATTCCAATCATTTGGCCATTGAGTCTTCACCATTGGATTATCAACATTAAATGCCACATAACAATCCTGAGTGTTTTTGGGAAAATTTACATATAAAGTATTATTTATAAATGTAGATAGTAATAAGAAATTAGCTACTGAAAACATGTTTACTCAATGATAGTAACTTAACAACTAATTATTTTTCACACTTTTAAAGTCGCCTTATATTATTAATTTTTTATTATAAATAAATTGTTATCTTTACAATTTTTATTAATGTAAACATAACGACCTTGTTTTGGTGGGGGTGGTTGATAATTCTGCAGCACCCATATTGGTGGTTAAATCAAATGCGCATAATGTGTTTAGTATTGAACAGAGTAAAATTGGTTTAAGTCCATATGATGATAAAAGGCATTTATTATCAAATTCAACAGATACTTTACCTCATGGGCACTTCAAGATTAATAATATTATGTAATAATTATTTCTAATTTTAATAAATATATTTTATTTATTTTAAATTATTAAAACTCAAGGGTACGTTTAAAAATCAGTATATTTTTCTAAATCATTTGACATTTTCATATCTAAATAGTATAAGCATTCTAAAAAACAATAACTTTCTACACTAGTACCGCAAGAACATAGGGATGACTGAATACCTTTTCTGGGGGATGCTTCAAGTATTTTATCAATAGCTTTATATTTTATAGGAGATTGTTTTTTAATTTTTTTTGCTGGCTGTAATAAATCTTCTTCTTCAGCTTCTTTTTTCACAAAATCCGTATCATATGTCATTTTTTCAAGAGGCTTTATGATTGGTCTAAAAATTTTATCTAATGTAGCATCATTTTCAGCTTTCCCCAATTTAAGAGCTAAATATTTTTTTCTAATATTTCGAGAGAGTTCATTAATTTTTTCAGTTACATTGACAGTGGTTGGTGCCATGATTACTAATGATACTAAATATAGTTGTTTTACATATTTATATTTTTATCAAACGAAAACACCCATTGTTTAAACGGGAGTCTTTTATAACAGCCTGTAGTTTTTGTGACAGTTTTACAGTTTTATAGCAGTTTTTCCAGTTTTTCTATCGGTTTTTGCGATAGTTTTGCAGTATTTATAGCAGTTTTGCAGTTTTTCTAGCAGCTTTTGCAGTTTTTCTATCGGTTTTTGTGACAGTTTTGCAGTTTTTCTAGCAGTTTTTGCAGTTTTTCTATCGGTTTTGCTGTTTTCTAGCAGTTTTTCTAAAGGTTTTATAGCAGTTTTGCAGTTTTTTTATCAGTTCTTGCTGTTTTTCTAGCAGTTTTTCTATCGGTTTTTGTGACAGTATTTTACCAAGATTATAAGGTTACTTAGCAAAAAATATTAATAAGTCTATTACTGTTACTCAACTCAAAAAAATATTAGCTACATATTTATATATTTATCAAATCCCTTTCGATAACGTCCATTGTTTAAACGAAAATCTTTTATAATAGCTAAACAACCATAATTTTCATTCCAACATTCTGAGCATATTTTCTTAAACTGATCATAAGGCATATCAGGTGAGACATGTTCATCAAATACATGTTTTAAATTCATATCATCCTGTCTAAATAGCACAATAATATTACAATTATCACGTATTAATTGTTTTGGTATTTTTGAATATGTTTGACATAAGTATGCAGCGTCTATATTTTTATGTCTACCCATTGAATAGTATTCGCGTATTTTATTTTGTTTATCGCAAGCTACATCATCAAATATGAAAATTGAATTGTTTCGAGCTTTCATAGGTTCAATTATTTCATCATTATCTTTATATGAAAAATACCCCACACCTTTTACTTTCCTTAAAACATTTTGTAATAGTTGATATTTTGGTTGGAAAAGTGATTTTGAATAAACGTAAATATTTTCAAACTTAGCTCCATTAGGATTAAATATTAAACTTAATAGGGCATTTGTTTTACCACACCCACTAGGACCACAAAAAATTGCTCTAAAGGAATTTGGTAGTAAATTACCATGTTTACTGACATCAGAACTACCTTCAAATAAATCTAAATTAGTTATAGGTAGTTTTTCAGGCTGTTGAACGCAACGCATTTTAGGTACTACTGAACTCAAATAGTTTTGTTAAGGAATATATATTAAAGTTTATTCAATTAATTTTACAACAGCACGTAATTTTTGGTAACTTATTGAACACCTCATTAGCTTCTTTCACATAAAATGAAACCATACAACATGGACATGTATCTGGACCTTCATCAGAATTTGACCAGGGGCACGTCTCAAAATGTTTACCATACTGGTTATTTACAATATTAGCATTAAGATGCTGCTCCAAAAATTCTTTTTGACTAACCCATTTTTTAATTTTTTCCTTTTTCAAAAATTCTCGATATATTTCCTGTCGAGTAGGAAATTTATTTTCAAATTTTTCTTCACCTTCTTTACCACATTTTTCCAAAAATTTATCAATATTTTGGATTGCCATTTCAATTTCCTTTGCACTAATCATTATTACTGTACGATAATATTAAGACTGAATAATACTTTTTAGGTCACACGTTTTGGTGGAAAAATAATAAATATCTGACGTCACAATTCAAAATGGCGTCAAAAATAAAATTTACAACAAAATAATAATAAATCCTTATCTCCCCCGGATATCAAACCACTGCAGCAAATGCATATCGCTTATCTTTTACATCTCCAGTAATACCAAACTAATACGCTAACCACAAACAACCAATATGCATATCGCTTATCTTTTGCATCTCCAGTAATGCCAACTAAACACCTAAGCCCCGCCCACTTTAAACCACAACACCAATAGCTAATATCTATCAAACATGGCCGCCATCCGCCAGCCGCCATCCGCCAACAACCCACCAATAGGCTCACTTACGCTTATCAGTTGAGGGCGTTGCCCAAATGCCTGCCCACCAATAGCTAATATGATCACCCCCCCACCACCCACCAGGGGGGCGCCACCATCGAGAACCGCCTACGTCACGTAGCGTCTGGGTCACTTCCGGTCCAGAACTCTCTTTGTATCTCTACTTATTATTTTCTTGCCGTCATGCCTAGCTCTTAATTCTTTCTCAAAATCTTTTAAAAATAAGAGATTAACGTTTGGTCCGTCCATTGATATACTTAAAAGATATTCAGTACTTAATGTTAAATCCCTCGTGAATTTAAAAAAGTGTTCAAGAAGGTTTTTGGCCGTACAGTGACCGATAAAAATGGAACCACAGTACTGACTTATTACTTTTTGATGCCTGGTCGAAAAATATTGCACATACCCGTCAAATTGTTTCTTAACTTGGGACGTCGTTGTTTCATCAAATTTAAAAGTATAAGGAGAATTTTTTACATCCTTAATTAACATTTCTTTTACAAATTTGGCAATTTCGAACTCTATGACATACTTGCATTTTGTCTCCGACATGTTATAGTTTTTTGCGATATTCGAGTCGGGAAACATCAGTTGAAAAATTACATTATTTTCATTATTACTTGCAAATGAAGAATTATTTTTGCACACCTTTAGACACCAAATAATTTCCGCTTTTAAAATTTGTTTGGCGTCTGTTAAAACAAAGTTACCTAAAAACACAAAATTGGCGTAAATCGACAATAATAAGAACATAGTTTATTTATTAAAAAAATCTGTTCACCTAAGGTAGTTGTGCTAAAAAAATTCTTTTTTAAAAACATTTTTTTTATTTTTAAGTTTTAGTTTATTAAATTGTCTATACCATAAATTATATATCACAAACTATATTTTTCTTAAAAAACAACAAAGTATACCTAAAAAACAAAATCCATGTAGTAGCTCTTGTACAAAAATGTTTAGCTATATTTTGTTTGTTTTCAACCAAAATATACAGTGCCTTATATCAAACAAAAGGATTTTTAATTTTCTTTTAAATGATATATAAAATAGTAAATAATCTAGTTATGCTATATTACCTATGCAAACTTCATATTTTTCCTATTATAAGATTTTGAAGTATCAAGATCCACATTACAATACCTAACTAAACAGTAAACATAAACATTTTTTATAATATAAAAATATCATCACTTATTTAAAAAAAACTCGTCAATAGATTTGGCTAAAAAACTAATGTTAAATTTATGTTTTGTAAAACAACTTTTTTACCGTTTAGTTTTGGTAAAAATCGCTCTTAAAAACGATTAATAGGTATTACATGTAAGGTTAATCATATAATTTTTGAGAGCGATTTTTGCCAAAACTATATGGTACATAATTGTGAAACTTTAAAGTAAGTTAAATACCTATTTATATTTTAAATAATAATTCATCCAAAATGTAGCCAATTCTGTCGATAGCGTGTTTCACGCGACAACTACCTTAACCTTAAAAAGTTTTTAATAAAAACACTCACCACTTGATAATTCCACTTGCTGATTGCTTGAGTTAACTTTAAAAGTCGATTGGCGGCTGTTTCCAGATCGCATTTTTTCAAAATTTTCATGTTTTTGCCCCTTTTGGTGGGACTTTACTTGTGATACTCCTTGACCATCTATCCTAAATTTCGTATTACACAATGTGCAGTAAGCAAAGTACGGATCAGAGCAACCTTTTAACCAAATAAAAGACTCTTCCCAGGTGGAGCAGTATCTGTATATTTAAAAAGATATAATAATTAAACATAAGAAAGATAAACTTAATTTATTATTTAGGTAAGACACTAGCTAGCTAAATTATTACTAATTAGTTTTACCTGGTTTTATAATTAGGCATTATACCACTTTACTGGACGTGGACATAGATTCACAACACTACACAAATAAATAATAAATAATGGCACGATATTTGACAAAAGTTCGTGTTCGGCTACAATCGGAACCGCTTCCACATATCAGGCATCGCATTCCTAAAGAACGAAAGTACCTTTTTTACATGTTTAGAGTTTTAAGCGCCTCTTATTTTTGACAGCCATCACGTGTTAATAATTACTATCTTACTTAAAAAAGTCAGTTTCATTAATAATATTAAATTTAAGTAATTAAACAGTCAGGTTGGCCTATTTATATAAAATTTTTAGGAATTTTAGGAGATTGCCGGCCATTTTAGGAGAATTTTAGGAGTTTTCAAGACTTGAGCAAAATTTTATGAATTTTATGAGTTTTAGGAGGTGTGGGAGCCCTGAATAAGTGAATTTTTAAAAATAAGCCCCCTAGAGTTCTAGTTACTTTGTACCTATTGTCTGCTCCGGGAGATATTCCACTACGTGGCCCAATTTTCTCGAACATTTCCAAACTGTATAGGCATTCGACTAAAAGTGGAAAAAAGAGAAATGTTGAATCACCTATTTCTAACAAAAGGGAATTCACAACTGTAATTCCCCATTGTTTTTATATTACTAATATAATTATATAATATTACCCACTTACCCTGTTCATTTTTTTAGCAGATTGGAAAGCCACCAAGACCAGAGTGTTTCACTAATTCATGTTAAAAAACTTTGGTCACAAAGGTACGTTAAACGTTTAACAATGTCTTGTTTTTCCGCATTTCTTAATCCATTTATAGATATTTTCCAGTTGGTATCGCCCAGAGGTTCTTCCTCCAGAATATCGATGTCCTCTTCTAGACACCCCACATTTTCCCACCCCAATGTCCAACCTAAGTAGGATTTGGCCTCGCGCACAAGCAAATCCTCGTAGGAGAGATTGGCATCCGACAGGTTGGGCAGCTCATATTCAAACACTTCCATTTGTGTAATACAAATTGTTGTAAGGATCACCAATAAACACTTAAAAAGTAAAAGAGTTTTTTTCAAAACCCGAAAAAGCAGGTAGCAAATTAATTTGTCAATTACAACCAGCATCCAAACAATGTACGACATCGATTCGTGCGTAGAACCATTTTATAGAGCGTTCTTTTGCCAACAAGCACATATAAAAATGTTTACCAATTTATTTGTTCAACTGCCCGCCGCGGTCAAAATGCGGACACCCTGCATTTGGGGATGCTAAGGGGGGCTGTACAGGTACGGGAAATGATTTTTTTGCAAATCTGAATAGATATTCTTTTTCTACGCCTCAAACTTAGTCGGTATGAATTTTTTCGTCCAAATCCCAGACGAAAAGTTCGCCTCGATATCATATTATTATTCTTAAGGTAAAGCATTCAATTTAGAAAAGTCGAAAATGACCAAAGTCGCCAATGAATTTTTTTTTAAAACGTTTTCTGACTAACTTTGGGACGCTGAATCGATTGGTAAAAACCGCATCTCTATCTCTTTTCGTTTAGAAGTTATGATTTTTTGAAGTGTCAAAATACACTTTGAGGGACGCTAGCATCCAAACAACGTGCGACATCGATTCGTGCATAGAACCATTTTATAGAGAGTTCTTTTGCCAACAAGCACATAAAAATGTTTACCAATTTATTTGGACAACTGCCCGATGCCGTCAAAATGCGGACACACTGCATTTGGGAATGGGGTGGGGGCTGTAGAGGTACGGGAAATGATTTTTTTTAAATTGATTACTTTAACTGATTTTAAAAACCGTTGGGATATATTCTAAATACAATAAAACAAGAATTTTGTCATTAAAATTTTATTTAAATTGTTTTTACATTTTAAGTGAATTTTTAAGTGTCATGCTGTTGTTATTGCAATATTTGTAATAATGTCAACAATATTAGAAAAAACATGTTTTTTTCTAATATTGTTAATATTATTACAAATAGCTTAAGGCAATTGTTGTAAGTGGCCTTTCTGAAGATCCTGCACATCAATAGTTGTCTGTCTGTCCCAATCTTCCTTAAAAAAAATAATATTTTTTGAGATCAGCAAGAGGTGCCAAAGTTTTAAGCCAATTAGTGGTAAAAAAACCCTGTTTTACATATTTTAAATTTTTTTATTCAAGCCTAAAGAAATTTTGTTATTTTAATTATGCAGCACTTAGTTGAACAAGACATTGACACAATAAGTGAGTTTTTAAAAATAAGCCCCCTAGAGTTCTAGTTACTTTGTACCTATTGTCTGCTCCGGCAGAAATTCCGCTACGTGGCCCAATTTTCTCGAACATTTGCATCTGTAAAGAAAGTTTCCAAACTGTATAGGTATTCGACTAAAAGTGGAAAAAATTTAGAGACACTTTGTTTCTTTCGTCTCGCCATTTGCTATTCATCACAGAAAACCCTTTCTGTGAATGCTGACGTAGCCGAGATAGACAATAAAAATGAAATTACTTTATACAAGTTTAAAACATTATCATCACTCTTATTAAATACTTGCTGCCATTTTTGTGCAGTTGGAAGTTCTGCAAAAGTTCTAGAAGTACATATCTGATTATAAAGTTGGTTTAATAAAGCCATTTCTCCATAAAGATCATCCAAATCTCTAGTTTTTGCAGATTTAAATTTTCAATTATGTTATTAGTTATATTATTAAATTCTATATTGCTCTTTAAATTTATCTTACTAAGTGTAAATCTCTAGTTGAAGATAAAAATGAAATATTATGCTTAAAAATTAAAATGGAAGAGAGAAAGATTCAAGCTCTTAAAAAATTGGCTAATAAGGAATAAGGCGAAGTAAGCTGGATGAAATAGGTGAATACAAAAAAAAATATCATGTTTAAAAATGCATGTAAAAAACTATTTTAGTTAAATTTTATTATTTATCAGCCATTTTTAACTAGGTTTATAATAATAATATTTATGTTTTCTATAAAATATCTACAAACATGTCGGTTTGGCACTCTAGGGGAACATTAAGGTTGATTCCAATTTTATCCAGCTGGTCTCCTTTTTCATTTCCCTTTATATCGTTGTGACCTGGTATCCATCCCAGTTCAAATTCAAATCCATTTTATTATTATTATATTATATTATTAATATTATTTGCAATATGATTCACGTTTTTCTTTATTGTCCTGTTTTTTTAGCTTGGTACTGTTTTTATTTAAGTTAAACTAATTCTATACCAGGTGTTTTTCTTTTTCTCACTTATTGCCACTATATTTTTCATAAAATTTCTGCTTTTAGAAATATTTGTACTGTTAATAGTAAATTATGTATCAAGTTTTATAAACGCCATTTTAGTTACGAGTTTTATTAAGCCCGAGCGAAGCTTGCAAGCGAGTGTTTAATAAAAACGAGTGTCTAGATAAGTTTATAAAACGAGTTGCATACTATACTTTATCTACGACGACCACAAAGAAGAATTTAAATCCCATTTTATTCGTTAAACATATGACATTTGTCAAATGTCAACGGAATTAATCTCACTTTTCTCTAATTTATAATAAAGCTAACTTCAGCCCGTGACTAAAATGCCCAAAAGCCACTATTGCAAACTTCAGACCGTAACTAAAACGCCATAAAGTCACAGCTCGTCAATGTAGAAGTAGATAAATACATTTAATTCATCATTATCAAGATTATTATGCAGTGTCACCACATAAATGATGTGGGGGCTTAAATTTTTGTTTTGTACCTTAGCAACTTATCCACTGGACAATGGACAATGTCTATCATAAAAGGTAAATCTTGTTGGTCCTCTTCCTGATTTTCGGTTTAAATCTTCTTATGGTATTTTTGTAAGTCTTTATTAAATTCTCCCATTTTTTGTTTGCTTTTGGCTGCTTCATGTTATACAAATTTATAATTATTAAAACAAGAAATAAAAACGAATGAGTTACTACACTTACATAAAATTCGTTTCCTATGAGAATTTCGCTTACTTCAGTCGCCGAAATAAGGGCCATTGTAGCAACGTATTCCCACAAACATTTTCCTATGTCTTTAGTATCCAAAGAATTACTAGCTATTTCCAAAGAATAAATAAGCATTTAAATTTGCAGTCAAATTGTCTTGTAGAAGTCACAATTGTGAATTTTTTTCCTGGTCCTTCCCTAATTGTGAATTTTCCTCCTGGTTATTGTCAAATTCATTCTCTTTATTGCTTAACAATAAGCTATTACTGCTGCTAGGTCCAGGGTCTCGACTACGATGAAGTAGTCCAGTGGCGGCTCGTGAGTGTACTGGAGGGTGAGGCTACAAGGTTAATTTTGTCTAAATACGAATAAATTCCCACGTCACCCGGGAGGTATTATTCTGCGACGCGTTGACCTTTTTGAAAATGAAGGTCATCGCCGTTAGCCCTACTAAATCATTATAAATAAAAAAATAAACTCTAAAAAACAAATAAAATATTACACCAAAGCCTAGTCCTAATCTTAACTCAAAACCATAAATTCGTTTTTTAAAACTAAAAATATAATATACTATAGTTAATTAGCTAGTTTTTGTAAATTAAATCTATGCGCCTATCTTTTAAGGTTGCGAATTTATCTATTATTTGGTCGTAAAATTGTGGGTCTGCAGTGAGCTTTGACAGTAGTAATTCTTGTTCTATTGACATCGTTGCTAGTTTTTAATTCGTTTAAGACATGAAAACTTTCGTTCGGCAAAGCTTATATGCTTCCACAAAAATTTTCTCGAAACTTTGATATAACATATCTAAACTTTTTTCAACACTAAAATTTAAAAATTGTTCATCTCTATGTAATCTATAAATCTCATTTTTACCCTGTCTTTGTCAAAAATATTTGGATAATTTTTTAATAAACCCATTAGTAAGTTGTCTGGAAAGCATTTTGCATATTCCGAATATTTTGTGGTATCAACTAAAGCAAGAAAACTTATGTTATTTAAATTTTTGTGATGAGCAGTAATTTATGTCTAAATACTTAGATTGTAAAATTTGGACTAACTAAAAATTTCTTTATAAATTTGTGTTAAAAGACAAAATTCAAAATTCCTTATTTGTAAGTGTGCTTCGAAGGTAGTGCTTGATCGGTAAGGGGGAGGTAAAATTCTCACTTTGGCTTAGCTGTCTTTTTGCAAATGGAACGGTCTCTAAAGTTAGATAAACCAAGGTAAGGTAAGAATATCTGAGAGTCGAGGCAAAAGGAAAGCAGCCTATGTTATACTTACACTTAATGAAATAAAAGGTCTGAGATGAAGATATAAATTAATATTTACTTTTTCTTTTATTTTAATTCGCGATTGGGTTGGCAGCCGTGTTTTTAGTACTTTTATCAAAATCCAAATGTCATTTAATAAATATATGATTGATAACAACACTTGTAATGTATTAAAAATCAGGTTATACCACGTATTTTAGAATTATTTACACAATAAAATTAAAATTAAAGCTTCCAAACACACAAGTTATAGTAGTCTTTATAGTAAGCAATTGTGAATAATTGTTGTGTTATACTAAAAGAAATAAACCTTAAAAAGTCTTTTAACAGAAATACAAATATAACGAATTAACCGTTTTAATTATTATTAGCAAATTGCCTCATTATGTTGCTCTATAATGTAGTAGTACCTTATTAAATTAATATAGTAGTATGACAAATTACAGTAAAACCTCAATAAGTTTAGTGTGTTTTTCTAACATTTCTTGTGTGTATATATTTTAACTGCAAAAATGTGGCCACTGTTGAAGACGAAAAGCTACACTGGCCACCCTATACCCCAACAATGTCCACTGCGTTTTAAAACAAAAAAAAATTATAAATTGTTTTAAAAATGCTATTTATTTATGATTTGATATATATAAAAAAAATACATTTAAAAATAGAAAATACAAAGGAATTGTTTATTCTTAAAGTGTTAGTTGGTTCAAAAAGCCTCATTTCTATATTATTATTCATAGCCGTGGACATATCTGAAACTAAAAAAAAACAAACTTCTTATACTGGTATCGTAAAAATGACACTATATTTGTAGTTTGCATAATAAATTTTGGTACATAATTTTTCAAATTTTGTTTTGTAAAAATTTAATAAAAGCAAAACTGTTAACATTTAAGTCCATATTTTCCTCCTCTTCAAATGGTTTAGTACACGTTAATCAAGAAAATAATTTATATCGTCACTATTATTTGAAGAATTGAAATTGGGTTAACCTTTTTTTTTTAAATTGGTATTAGTGACTTTATGTGCAAATCGTCCTAATGTGAAAGAACTGCTCGTTTTGCAAACGTTTTCTTTGTTATCTCTTTAGTTTAAAACTTCTATTAGCCATATTTTAGGGCAAAATGTCTCATTCTACTGTTTCGTGCAGTGGGCAAGACACTCAAGCGGGAATCCACAGCACGGAGCTCGAACCCAGCGACAATTGATATTTTTTTATGTTTTTAATTACTTGGTATTTTTTTTCACTTGTCATTTAATATTTTAGGTTATGATATTGATTTGATTATAAATCCTCTTACTTCGGTAAAACTAGACACTTAACTTTTTCAAATGGTAATATTTTTGTTAAATTTATTTAAACTTTTCTTACCAAAAACTTGAAATAATGTTGATATATATTACGACAACTTAACCTTTTATACCGATACTATAGTATGAATATAAAATCCATTATTCACCTTTTAATTTATTTAAATCTATTATCCACATCACACCCGCGTTAAACACTACTAATAAAATGCAGTTTTTTTTAAGGAGCCAAGCATAAACAATTTTGCATTTGTTTAGACGAGGTCAGTGCACCCGCGATGCCATTTGCTTAGTTTGATTATTTCTAGCATCGCCATTTGCTTTTTACAGTCTATATTTTAATTCCAGGGGGTAGTTATCAAAACTATACAATGAATTAATTTTCATACTTAAATTATATGAGTGAAAATGATTATTTTCACTGTTAGTCTAGGTCTAGTAATAACATAACATAAGTGGTTCTGCACTAATGCAAGAATTTTAGGACATTTTGAATATCAGAGCTTCACGGAAGATAGCTTCACGGAGGTTAGGATTTAAATTGAATTTACTTTGTGAACTGATAATTTGAGTATGCTTTTACTACCTTAGATATTTGAAAACATGGTTAACCTAGAAAGAGTAACAGTCACGGAGGATAGGTTTTAGACTTTTAAAACATCAAAACATAATAAAAGTGTAGGTCAAACTCATTTAGTTTTATTAAATATCACGGGGTATCACCATCGGGGGACATTTCGTGAGATTCACCCATATGGTAATCTACCGATTTTTCCAAAAACTAATTCGAAAGAAGTATGCTTGGTTTTTTTAGGAACAGTGTTCTTATAAGCAAAAAACCAATATAGTATCCAAGAACTACAATTACTTTGATGATATAATGTTTGAATTCGCAAAAAGGACCCTAAATTTGTATGGGAATTTTCAAAAGCACCCAACGTTTCTTGGTGGTATGCCGTAGACTTAACTTTAAGTAAACTAAACTTAATAGATTAAAATTCAGTACCGTGGTAAGTAAAAACCGCTTCAGGAATTTCATATCTTAAATTAAATTTTCTACAATTTTTCTATCAGTAAAAACTGCTTCAGGAATTTCATATCTTAAATTAAATTTTCTACAATTTCTCTATTTTTTTCGTTTGTATTTGTATGTGTCTTTGCTACATCATCTTTTCCCCCAACCTGAGATAATGTTTAAGTAACCATTAATTCCTCAATAGTTTTATCAAAGGCATCTACCGATTTTTGTAATTGGTTTGCATTATGCCACTCTATAGAAAGTACTGCTGCAGATTTTTAAGTATAAAATATATAAAACAAAAAAGTAAAATATAATATATATAAAATGTAATTTTATATCACAAAGCCTCGGAAGACTCATATTCAGGCTTTAATCTTAATCTTGGTGACGCTGTGAGTTTTGTTTTTAAAACGGACTTAATTAACATTACTTTTCCCTCGTCATTTAATAATTCGGAATATAATTTAATACCGTTAATTAATTGTTGTGTGGAGGTTCCGCTATTGTCCATAAGGGGTAAAAACCCTACGGCTATTTACTACTTACACGCGTCTTCGCATAAGTACTTTTCCCTGGGGTAGGTGGGGTCTCCTTGTTGTAGCTTTGATTGGGGGCCGGCTGGGTACGCAATTTGAAGAATCCTTTGCCTGGCCTGCTATTACTTGCACAGCCGCACTAACTAGCACCATAACTCGTCCTCTCACGAGGGAAACCGTGACTGAGAATTCAGTGCGATTCTCAGTCCTACTTAATAGGTTATAATAAATAAAATTTAACAGATGAACTACGTAGCAAAAGGCGCTACGAAGAAGTAAAATCCTATGATACGGCAAGCTTGTTTTGTTGAGTTATGGTTTTAGGCCCTAGGTGTGCTGAAAGTCCCTTCTAGGCCTTTCTCGAGGGGAATCGTAGTCCAGAAATTCATGCTCTGTCGGTGATTCCAAGCTTGGAGAGAGCCTAGGTAGCAGTTCGCTGAACCTATATAGTTTACTCTGACATCCCTGTGCAAGGTACTCCCCGTCTTCCTGGCGGACTGTTACATCGATCACAAAAACCCCTCCTTTGCGTTGTACTACCAGGTCGGGTTTGAGATTCCCGCATAGATAGTATGCACATATGGATGTTAGGTTCCTATGTTAGGCTCCTTAGATACCGCTACCCCCACTCCCTGCTTTGTTAACTGTCCCACGACGAGGTCGCGAATCTCGTCGTGGCGGCGGATCCTCCTGAGCTTTGTGTGTTAACATTGGCCCAGGATGTGCCCCAGTGTCTCCAGCTGGGTACGGCATTTGCGGCAGTTTAGATCCGGCTGGGGATACCCACTTCGGTGCAAAGCCACTCTGTTTGCAACTGTATTGGTTCTTAACCTGAGGGCGGTTAAGAACATGCATGGCTTGAGAAACGTGGGCGAGCGAAGCCATGCATTGCCTATTGGGTCATCGGTGAGAGAGGCTACCGACTTCCCTTGTGAGGTAAGTGTTTCCCATCTTGCGAGCTCTGCCCTCTTTTCGCGTGTATAGGCCCGTACTGC